CTTGCAGAGATAAATTCAGATTCTGAACCCATCACATCGCTTCCAAGGAAAATAATTCCATTCTGGAGGATTTAGGAACTGGAGCTGGCTTGTGCAACTTTGATTTTTTTTTTTTTAATTTTTTTTAAATTTCTGCCTTTAAAAAAAGAGAAAAAAGCCTCAGGACCGTTATTTAAAATCTAATTTTTATCTTGTAGATGAAATGCCCACCACGAAAAGAACATTAAAGATAAAACAGGAATCTTCCGAAGACACGCAGTAAGTGATTTACAAAGCTTTTTGTAAATGTGATTTCCCCGGGGACGTCGCACAGGAGGGGAGGAGATTTGGAAACTTCTGATTAGAATTAGAAATCCATTCTGCCAGACCATGAATCCACTTTACGCGTTATTCCTGTTACCGCCGAACGTCTGAAAAACTTCCCAAACTCTTGGCTCCGTCATTCAGCGAACAAAACGAGAATTTACTCCGCGATCGCAAGGATTTAAAAACGCGGAGAGAATCCTTAGGGTATCGTGACACGAGGCCAGGCTCTCGAGTTTCTTTGTAATTTTGGTTTTATTTTCCATTCCTCTGGATTTTTGGATGTTAAAAAAAAAAAAGAATAAAGGAGGAGAAGAGGGACGGAAGCGTGTGCTGTTGGCTTGGTGTGAGTAATGCCGGCATAAAAAAAAATCCCTGGGGAAGATGTGCCAAAACTCCTGATTTTCTTTTTCCTAATTATTATTTGTTTTTATAACTTTTGGATCACTTTAATCTGACAAATCCCGGAGGTTTTCGAACGCTTCGAGCACACGAATCGCCCTCCCCACGCCAAGAGTACCACCACGTGCTGGATTTATTCGGATCAGGGATAACTTTTTCCGATTTTTCAAACCCTCGGGGTGGTTGTAGATCTGAGCAAGCCACAGCGAATTGGCTCGGGGTTCCTTCCGGGTGCAAGTGGAAAAAAAAAAATCCTCCAAAATGTAAAGAAATTAAAAATAATTTTAAAAGAAGCTTCTGTTTTAATAGCTTCCCAGCTTCATGTGGATTTTCACGGTACCCTAAGGCGACTTTTTTTTTCTTAATGTGGAGAAAATTCAGTTCGGCGACTCAGGGATAACCTGGAAAAAAATTTTTTTTTCCAAAATAAACACTATTATCGCCTCTCGGAACAGTTTCTTAGGACTTTTCTGGGGTAATTTGACCTTTTTGAGCAGTTTCTTCAGTAATTTTACCTTTCAAGGCGTGGTTTAGGGAATTGCAGAGAAAATATTCTGCAGTTTTCTGAGTTTTTCTGGCTCTGATTGCCTGAATCTTCCGTGTTTTGGTGTCTAGGCTGGATTAGATTTGTTAGACTGGACTTTTCAAAGTTTTGTGGTTGGTTTTTTCCTCCAAATTCCAAAATTATTTTCCAAAAAAAAAAAAAAGAATTTTGGGGATGCTTTCCAGCTCTGGTTTTTCTAACTTTTCTCCTTCTCTGTTTTTTTTTTTTCAATTTTCTTTTGAAATTTCCAGGAAACGCGACGTCATGCAGAATATTATGCAAATCTTGGAATCGGTCCAGTTGAAGTGGGAATTGTTTCAAAGTTGGACGGATTTTTCCCGCCTTCACCTTTCCAACAAACTGGCCATTTTCGGCATCGGTTACAACACCCGTTGGAAGGAGGATATTCGTTACCACTACGCGGAAATCAGCTCGCAGGTACCTTTGGGCAAACGCCTCCGGGAATATTTCAATTCAGAAAAACCCGAAGGACGCGTCATTATGACCAGAGTTCAAAAAATGAACTGGAAAAACGTTTATTATAAATTTTTGGAAATTACCATCAGCGAAGCGCGTTGCCTGGAACTTCACATGGAAATCGATTGGATTCCCATCGCTCATTCCAAACCCACTGGAGGAAACGTCGTTCAATATTTATTACCGGGCGGAATTCCCAAAAGTCCCGGTTTATACGCCATTGGGTACGAAGAACGTCCCGAAAAACCTCCTTCTCCTCTCACCGAACACCGAGGGGGCTCGGAGCCCAGCCAGGATCCTCCCGGAGAACTGGAAATTCCGCCTTTACGGGTGGAAATGGAATCCGCGCGGATTATCTACTGTTATTTGGGAATCGCCGAAGTGCGGACACTCCAGCAGTGTTTGTTTTTACATTTTCAGGCAAATAGTAAAACCTTCAGTAAAGATTGGGTGGGGATCAACGCTTTTTTATCCCAAAACTGTCTCGTTGAACCCGGCGTTTCCCCCAAATCCATCTACATCAAATTCGTGGAAGTCGAGAGGGATTTTCTTTCTGCCGGCTCTTTGGTAGAGTGCCTGGAAAAAGCCATCGGATACCCCTTAAAGTTTAACAACTGAGATTTCAGCCCTTTTTTTTTTTTTTTATTGTTATATTTTTTTTATTTTGTTTTTCATTTTATTTTTTATTTTATTTTATTTCTTT